GTTGTGACTACTTTCTTCCACTATTTGATCTGAGGAAGTGGGTCTGGCCCACGAAAGCTCATCATCTAATAAACCATCTTGTTAGAGAGAAGGATGTTTCAGTAATCAAGATGTGAGATGGTAATGAGAGCTTGGATAACGGTCTTATCTGTATGGATGGGATAGGAAAGATCATATCTTAGAAATACTGTGCAAAAAGAATCTGCTAGCTGTGGATGTAGCCTAGATGTGAGGTCCTAAAGCAAGGGAGGGCAAAATAGGCCTATGGGCCACATCTGGCCCACCAAACCGCTGGATTTGGACTGCGTTCCAGTAGGAACTTCAGCCAGGCTCTCTGCCTACCCCACACCCTCGATGCCACTCATAAAAGCTGTCTGCAGGGCTATGTGCATCTTTGAATGCTGCGAGTCTGTGGAGAGAGGCTTTGCACACTGTCCCCGCCTGCAGCACAAACTTGAAGCTCCCATTTCCCCCTTCCCTAAGGACTACAGCTTTATAGAAGCATGGCCCCAACAACTGGCTGGTTTGAGTGGTCTGCAGTAGCATGGAAGGCAAAAAGCCTGGCTGAGGAACCTGCTAGGCTGCTAGCTGCGAGTTTGTACATAAGAACATAAGAATGACCATACTGGGTCAGACCAAAGGTCCGTCTAGCCCAGTATTCTGTCTGCCGACAGTAGCCAATACCAGATGCCCCAGAGGGAACACAACAGGTAATCCTCATGTGATCCCTCCCCTGTCACTTAGTTACCCAGGTAAGTACCTCCTGGTAAGAGGTTGCTTCTGGTACCCCAGCCTCTCCCTCTCCACCAACTCTCTGACCCCCTCTTGCACCCATATATACCTTAAACTTTCTGCACACCTGCTCCAGCACCCATACCCCCTCCTAGATCCTGCACCCCAGCCTGCTGCCCCAGGTTACAACCCCCTCCTTCACTTAGACTCCTTCACAGATCTCATACTCACTCCTACACCCTAATCCTTTACTCAAGCTCTCTTCTGCACCCAACATCCATGCCAGACCCC